CCATTATCATGTTGCTAAGGGGCCGTAGTGTACGGGGAGGCGGGTCGTCGATGCTGCGTCGGGCTCCTCACGCGTCAACTAGAAGGTTGATCGATGGACTTCGCTACGAAACGCCGGTGATGGTTTTGCCATGAGCAGCGTTTTCCTATAAGTAGATTCGAATGACTGAAGGTTTAGGATGGAGAGATGCTGTGAGCATGAGGACTTTATTGCAGATGGTGGTCTCCTGTTATTGTGATTTCCTGTTGTGTTGTCCCAAGTTGAGCTGACGTGATGGGTATCTACAACAGTCGTGTTATGGGAAATCCAACCGATTGCGTTGGCATATGACGAATCATGAGTTGAGTGCGCGAACCGACATGACTCTTTGATACAAGATTGAAACCGACATCCTCAAAGGATTATAGAATGGAAGTATTCTCAAGGTGTTGATGGCGAGTGAGAGAATAAAAGCAAAACCTGTCTGAGGACTACTTGATGGTGTATGTCAGTTCAAAATCCAACACCGTCAACGGTTTGGTAAGACTTGGTTAAACTCACACTTGAGTTTCTGCAGTCGTGCACGTAAGGTAGTGCTTCTTGCACGATTTATTATAGCTCAGTGAACCACCAGTTTATCGAAATAGTAATGCGGAATTGAATCAACTCGTGCTAATGACTTGGGTCTTATCGCCACCTCTGTGAATCCGTTCGACCATCTCACTTAGAAACTCAAAGGCAAACAGTATTATCTTGGATATAGAGACGCTGAGGCATGCTCTCATGATCAATCGTGAGACGGTTACTTCAGGGATAGATGTGAGCGCTGGTTCCAGTAATACTTCTGGGATGCGTTGATCGGCCTGCTTCCCACCCAGGCTTCGGTCGGTAGTGGACTGAATTCTACAGGAGATGAGACCTCTGCGTCTTCAGAACTTCGTGCAGACGATGAAGCTTGACCGTCTGACAAGGAAAGGACATATTGAGTTAACATCCATAACGCTCCCGAGAATATCATATGTCACGATGAGGCTTCATAGTGGGGTCATATGCTCGACTCGTCACCAAGGATCGGAGTAGGACTGATTCTTGACGTTACGGGACAAACCGGCTCATCTGCACACGATGGATTGAGAGAAGGGACCGATTGAGGTGTCTGAAGAGATGGTAAATCTTCCACTGCAGAGGGGTCGGCTCACATCCATGGAGTAACGATCCTTTACAGGAGGGGTACAATCGTGGTTGTATTGAGTAGCAATAGCTTTCTCAAGCACCACTAGTCGATCGTCTAGGTCGGCCCTTATCATATCGTCAGAATTGTACCGGAGCTCATAACACTCGTTCTCTACTGTGGCGAGCCTCATCAGGATGGCTTTGATCTCCTGAACATGATTTCAGTGCTCACATCGTCCACGGGCATACTTCGTGAATCTTTCTTATACTAGTTTGGACTCGACCTTCCACTTCTTGCGCGATACTCACTGGCTTGCTATGAGCCTCGATAACCTCACGCCTACGACATCAGTTTCGAGGGAGGCACGATATGAAGTTGTTGCTACAATTTGACCAGCATCACGGATTGTTCATCACGAATGTCTGCCTTCAGCTCATCAACCGACCGACAACTCTGATCAGCTTTTCTCCTAATCACAGCCACTCTATGTTCGAGAACCTTCGAGATCAAGATTGAAGCCATCAACAAAACCATTCAAAGGGTCATGTTACTTCCATCGACCTTCGAGAGGCGCTCATCTCCTTCTCTAATTTACAAACTTCCACGCTGGACTTCATATGCTTAGCTACAGCGTTGTCGATCAACTTCGTTAATCCCGGTGACGTCAGTAGATTCCTCCTGAAATCGCCACTTATACCCTAGAAATCAACACTCTGTTTCTAACGCTGTCCGCTGCACTTCTTCAGAGGGGCATTCACTACTGACAGAGGACCGCGACATTAACTGGCTTTGTCCCGACCCAGAGGTGACAACCTCCTGAACAGTTCACAGTTGAAATCTCACGATGATTGACATTCTGTTACTGTCACCTCAACCTGTTTCTTGAGTTTATTCAGTTCCCGTTGCAGACCGTTAGTCGCCTTGCTGCACTGTTTCACTGATGCCCTTATGGACTCCGAGAATCTGATCGTCCCGATGCGGTCGTTACCAAGATGGGGACGACGACTGACAAATCCGAGGCCTGTCTCGATTTCGAAGGAGACTCTTCCGCCGCCTTCTGCCTCGCGCGAATCTCTTCGATCTGTTGCGGTATGGCTAGGTCGTCGAGGCGCCTGATGAGGAAGGGCCTTCAGCCCCAGCACCACCACGCACTGACCTCGTACCGACACAGTTTCTCTTCAGCAAGTGTGAGCAGCCACTCCTCTCGGAGTTCATTTTCGTCCTCACGATAACCAAGCTCTGCCACAGTGGATTCAAGGCGAGCCAATCGGGCATTCACCTGATGGGAAATATTATCAGATGGATGTGCCGTTTCTTTCATGATGAAGTAATCCGATTCGAGTCATCTACACTGATACTACTGCAGCGTCATTGGATTCGTTGACTTCAGCATTCCTACTGACTTCCGGCCGAGCCGATCCTTCATCGCGTTCATGACGGGAAGCGCGTCGTAACTTGAGAGCGTAGGAAGAGCTAATAGGATCATTCAGTCGGTCTTGTGGCACCTCAGCGACTTCCTCTTCTAGTTGGGAAAATTTTACGTGAATTTCTCGCAACTGACTTGCAGTGTTTTCCTCAAGTCTCGACAACCACGACACCTGATCAGCGGAACTCACATAACTTCATAAATAATTTTCGATCCTACAATCTCCACCATCGTGGGCTTCTGTCCTGCGGAATTAATTTCATGTTCGTTCCTGGCTGTTGCGACTTGCGAGGATTCGAAGCGGTTCGCGAAACTCTAAGTAGAGGGCTCGTATTCCAGGCAACTAAATAGCGCCCGATTGTTCCACATTTCAAGTAGCCGTTCATTTCTCATTCGAGAGTCTGTCACGGATTTTCCAGCCGACACAGATCAACTATCTACCATTATAGATGTTGAATCCTTCGACTGGCTTGCTCTCTCTTCAACCTTGTCGGGGCCGCCCGAGTTCGAAGTGGTAACATCACTCATTGTCTACGTTGTGAACAGCTGTACATGTGTCTGCTACTCACCGCGGCGTGGTTCTATATCAACGTGGTCGATGCACGGCCTACCTTACCCAAGATTGACTTCGGAAAAACTCAAGAGTGTTATGCTGAAGAGAAACATTCTAACTTCATACTCTTGTAAAGTTATAGCTGTCTATGTGCTCTATCTAACTCTGCTATCTTCAATGGCAGCACTCAAGAAGATCAATATCATCGACAATCTTCGAGGGGTCGGCCGATGGAGACAGTTCAGCATATAACGCTTGCATACGCAAGAGTGTAGTACGTACCTGAGGCACCTCAAGTCTTTCCTACTGGAGACCCCCATCCTTACGAATCGATCAAATGATACTGTAGACAATCAGAGGCCCCGATTTAGGGCGTGGCGCGCGCTGTAGAGCGAGCAGTTCCTTCCTAGACACGACTGAAGGACTGATGAATACTTTAGCTTCAGAGCAAACAACAAGACTACAATATTGTAGCTCTTCCACATCGTCGAAGTCGGGAGGTAGACTCAGAGGGCCACAACTATTATACTTTATACATTCAAAACATGACCGGGCAGCAGAAGTCTCGGGGATGTTCGGTGATGCGGGAGGAGAGTCTGTCGCTGCCGATGACTCTAATTACGATGTCCAGCGTCATCTCCGCCAGGACCTGAATGCATCACTCTCAAGACCAGTCGAGATGACTGAGGCGCACGGACCTTTTCGGTTGGACTGATGCTTTTAGATAGCTCCTCGAGTCTCTGTGAAATCAAGACCAGATTGTCAAATACAAACGAAGACAGCATTCCTGGCGACATCCTGAGATGGCTAAGTTCTCACCACACCAGAGAGGAGTGCAGACAGTAGAGGAGTGCGGGCGCACCTGTCCAGCCCCTGAACGGCTGCTAACGTATGGATATCAGACCACTGCAACTCATCCTTGCTCCCTAATAACTCACAGAGTATTTCAGCGAGGACTTCATCGGAGCGCGTGGAATCACTTCGTGACAGTGCCTGAGAGATAACAGTGAACTTCATAGTTCACCTGCAACCAGTCGAGAAGTTCTTCGAGATTTTCTCCGCGAGTTTTATCAAAATGAAGACTAGGCCTAACAAAGTCGTCTCTAAGCTGTTGCGGCACTGCCAAGCGATTTTCCTATAAATATTGGCTTTCTATTCAACACCGAAGAAATGAGGTGCAACAGATACATATTCCTCGGGAGCGTTAGATCTCGCACCGAATTCAAACAGACTCACACAAATTAGCCTTGACAAGACGGCATCATCTCCATCATAGCTCTTGGACCCTCCAAGGGTTGTATGAACATTCACCGAGCACAGCACATCCATCAGTCCTCTCGGCAGAATTCGTAACGCATTGAGAGGCGAGAAGGCAGCAAGGAAAGCCAAACGAGCCAGACCGCGACGAGTAACTAACAAGCCCGGAATCATCCACCACAGTAGGAGTGATACTTACGGCTCGCCCCTGCTGCAACAGCGGTAACAGCAGCTTCGATCGCTTCCCATTTAATTTCAATGCCAGAAGTGTCAACGACATACAGTAGCTCAACGAAGTCTTCAATACTGTCGGCGGCCCCTTTCAACGAGGTGCTCGCATTAGAGTCTGAATGAGTTCATGACGAAGATATTCGGAGGATAACATCTCACTAAAGGTCGCGATAATGTGTTGGCATTTCAAGTGTGTTGAAGCTGCGAGCTCGACCAGTCCGAGCACGCCATGCGGGGTCCAGTCGGCACCTAGCAACGGGTATGCCACCATATTCAAATGGTCAAAATCATCTACGGTGACCCACCTTCGCGCGCCAGGAAATCCTGTGCGAGAAGTTGTGCCAATTTTGAGCATTTGTCGAAGCAGTCTCGATTATCTGCTACCGAGTCGTTCGCATTGAAGTGGTTTAAGAGTATAACGATGGACTCAGGGAGGTGATCTGAAAGCCGTAGACTGCGGAGCCTCGGGCAACACAGTCCTCGTCTACTTTTCTCCTCTGCCGAGCAACACTCGATGCCTTCGTCGCAGATAGCGTCTAGCAGCTTCTCGAACAGATGACGAGACATTGGACACCGTCTAGCCGACTCGGTCGTAGAGGTCGAGATGGAGCTGCACGACTTCGGCTCAGTAGACGGTCCAAGTGCACTCAAAGATCTGCCGGTGCCCTGACTAGAGCTCAATCGCAGTGCCGCAGCACCTGAGTAGGCATGCTGAAAGCGGCATCAGTCTAGGCAGAACCCTACCTGCTCGAAGAAGCCCCGGAACAGCTGAGGCGTCGAATGGCTTCTGGCTTGTACGTAAGACAAGTTCATACTATGATAGGCCTGAGAGAGTATGAGATAGTGACAGCATCTGAGTCTAGCCC